CCATCACCAGGAAGTTACTCGATGGGCATTGATCTGATGAGATCCCCACAAATTGCGTTATTGAAAGGGCCTAACCGGAGTTAGAGAAGCGGGTACTGAAATGGGTTAAGTTTCTTAGGTATTCCTACAATGAGAAGTTCCTATTTCAATGGTTTCAAGTTCAACAATGATGGGGACAATGAAATGTATCTCACATACCTTTCATTTAACAGTAACCAGGCAGTGAGGTTTCGGGTTCGGTGACGGGTTTTTGGCGGTGGAGAGAGTGAATTTGTCAGATTTTGCTAGCACGGTGGCAGCAGAGAACATTGAGGAGTGTGAGGGTAAGTGTTTGATGTTGATGTTGAGGAATTTACAAAAGGTGGGAACACACTGTATGTGCGTCTTGTTGGATTTATTTTCTAGTGTGGTCCAATAGTCTACATATATCAACATGTTTTAATTTATTTGGACTCCACAATTAGATAAAGCCAATATTTGAGATAAAGTTCAGTAATTAGAATTTTAATAGAATTACTCTTTTACGATAAGAAGGAAACCTTGATGGATAAGAATTCTTCTGATAGAGTTTATCTGGCCCTCTTCTCTCCTCTATATAAGGATGGGCGACTCCCATTTCATATCATGAGTATTTTTCCATCACTCTAAGTTTTATAGTCATCCTAATTAAGAGAGACGGAGAGAAGAATGTGAGCTAAGAATTAAAGGTTCAACTATTAGGGGTATTTTCTCAACTTCTCTAATTCAATAGCTGACAAAGGTATGTTCATTTTATTCTTGAGTTGTATTAAATTCAAGATCCTATAAGGTTTAATTCCGCATTATTATTATGGTTACATGTATTATTAATACTTACATGTGGTATCAGAGCTTTCGTTTTGTGAATCAATATACCTTGGAATAATAATATATTTATTATATTAATTTTAATAAACAGTACCTTCGTTTTATTATTGGTATTGACTTTAAAATATTATCTCAATTTGTTTGAATTGGTCAAACGTGCAATACACCATTTGATTTTGTTATGCTATTAACATGCTATTCATATCCCTTTGCAATAAGTAATATGCATGCTTCGGTTTATTGCATGCTTCGGTTTATTATTTTATAATCATTATAATATTAGTGAAGAATATTACTTCCTCTTGTATGCCATAGAATTGAATGATTATAAAGTTATTATTTAAATAGACGGTTGAGGCATAGATTAAAAGAAATTTGTTGAATCATTCGGTCTATTAAAGAATTATGATGTTACCTTATCTGATTATATACACTTATTGTCTATTATTGTTGATATTTATATATTTTCATGATTTAAATTTGATATCATGATATAATTTTATGACATTAAATATTAAATATTGAAGTAGTTAATTCATTTAGGTGTAATTCTTGTTGACCATTATATATATATATATATATATTCATATTTGTCCAGAGTTATTATTATTATTATATTGATAATTGCAACCACATAAAAGAAATTCTAGAAATCATAAATAGTGATTTCATTAAAATAGTGATTGAATTAATGATAATTAAATAACTCAAATTAATGAATAGAGAATATTGTTGGTTAATTTCGTATTCATAAGGTTTACTAATTTAGTAGCTGCCAAAGTGGTCTAGATTTGTAAAACTTATGAATATAGAATTACATAAAAGAATTGTTAAAATGGTAACATTAAGGTCGATAATATTCTCAATTGCAGTTATAATTAGGAGATTGAGATTAGCCCAAAGGAGAGTCACTTTCAAATAATTATGAACTGGGTAGGGTAACTTATGTAATTTGACAGATTAGAATTGAATGTCCAAAGGTAACATGACTAACTGAAAAGTTGCATAAATTACTTTAGACCTACATAAGTGATTCTTAACGAGTGGACAATAGCTATACCTAAGTTTTGCCCAAAGGAAAGACTTATGTGATATCAATAGTTCATCATTATAATTCTCAAAGCTTTAATATGTATATTATTTATGCCTATTTCCACGTTACTTATGAGACTTTGTGTTAATACCTCTTAAGATCTGTCAACAAGATAGCTTGCTATCTAAGATGGTTGGACTTAGAAGGGAGGCTATATTGACTCCTCCGACCTTCCTGGGATCTTGCTTGGTTATTGACCAAAGGACTCTTTAGTAACGTTACCCAAACGCTTAAAGTAAAATTTGGGGCATCACATGTTCTATTTTATTGCATTGGAATACTTAGAGGCTGTTGAAGATCAACAAGCCACTTGTTGGCACTATTATGGCTGAATTGACAACAATGAAATATAATGGCCACCAAGGAGTTTAGGATCACATCCTCAATATGGCTGACAAAGTTGCAAAGCTTAAATCTTTAGGGATGTAAGTTGATGAAACTTTCCTCGTGTAGTTTATTCTCACCTCACTTCCATCACAGTTCGGCGCATTCATAATTCACTATAACACCAATAAAGATAAGTGGAGTTTGAATGAGCTAACTAACATGTGTGTTCAGGAGGAAGTGAAGTTGAGGGAGGAAGGACGTCAAACTGCATTGGCTGTAACTCATGGAGCTATAAAGAAAAAGAAGGATAAGTTTGTAAAATCAAAGAAAATTCCACCCAAGAAAAAGAATGAACCTGGGGAAGAAAATCAGGCTCAGAATGGTTTCACTGTCAAGTGTTACTTTTGTGGCAAGAAGGGAAATGTGAAGAAAGACTGCAGCAAGCGAAAGGCTTGGTTCGAAAAGAAAGGTAAGAAATTTTCTTTTGTTTATTATGAATCAAATCTTGCTGAAGTACTTTCTAATACTTGGTGGATTGACTCTAGGGCCACGACCCACATTACAAATGACATGCAGGGATACCTCTCAACCAGGAAACCGAAGGAAAGTGAAAGATTTGTCTATATGGGGAACCGTCTCAAAGCTGAAGTCGTCGCTGTAGGAACCTACTGACTGATCTTAGAGACGGGTCATCAGATGGATCTAGAAGACACTTTTTATGTTCCTTCAATTTCTAGGAATTTAGTTTCGTTATCCAAATTAGATCGTATTGGATATTCAATTTTATTTAGTTATGGAAAACTCAATTTAATGTTTAATTCAATTGGTTTTGGTAATTTATGTGATGATTTATATAAAATTACCTTAAATCATGAATTTGCACAATCATTAGTAACTCTGCATTCGAATATTGGTTTAAAATGTGGTCTAATTAATGAAAAATCCTCAATCTTGTGGCATAGACGGTTGGGGCATATCTCTAGAAATAGAATTGAAAAAATTGGTGAAGAATGGGATTTTGGAAAACCTAGGCTTCACTGATTTTGAGATATGTGTGGATTGCATTAAAGGAAAGCAAACCAAACACACAAAAAAGGTGCTACAATAAGTAATGAGCTTCTTGAGATAATTTGTATAGATATTGGTGGGCCGCTCAACATCCCATGTCTTAGTGGTAAAAAATATTTTATCACATTTATAGATGACTTCTCACGTTATGGATATGTGTATCTAATTCATGAAAAATCTTAGGCTATTGACATCCTTGAGGTGTACATAACTGAAGTCGAGAGACAATTAGATAGAAAGGTTAAAATAGTGAGATCAGACAGGGGTGGTGAGTATTATGGTAAATATGATGAGTTAGGCCAAAATCCTGGCCCATTTGCCAAATTCTTAGAAAATAAAGGCATTCGTGCTCAATATACAATGCCAGGTATGCCATAACAAAATGGAGTTGCTAAAAGGCGTAATCGTACACTTAAAGATATGGTTAGGAGTATGTTAAGTTACTCAATTGTACACCATTTCACTGTGGGGTGAAACTTTAAAGACTGCAATGTATATCTTAAATAGGGTTCCTCGTAAGGCGGTCCCAACAACTCTTTTTGAGTTGTGGACTGGTAGGGAACCTAGTTTGAGACACTTACATATTTAGGACTATCCAACTAAGGCAAGAATCTTCAACCCACAAGAGAAAAAGTTGGACTCAATAACAATATCTGGATATTTCATTGGTTATCCAGATAAGTCTAAAGGGTACAAATTTTATTGTCCTAATCACAGTACAAGGATAGTGGAGACTGGTAATGCTAGATTCCTAGAGACTGGTGAAATTAGTGGGAGTGAGAAAACACGAGTCGTGAATTACGAGGAAATTAGGGTGGATGTGCCAACATTTGACCCTTATCGAAAAATTGTTCTTCCTCAGACTATTCCACAAGCTGGGGGAAACGAACAACATAATAAAAATCCTTCACCACCTCATGTTTCACCACTTCATGAAGATACCACCATTGAAAATATTGTAGAACCACCACACTCGGCAATTCTGAGAAGATCTCAGGGGGAAAGAAAGCCTACCATTTCAAATGATTACATGGTGTATCTCCAGGAATCTGATTTTGAAATTGGGATTAACAAAGATCTAGTCTCATTTTTACAAGCCATGAATAGTGATGATTATACTAAATGGGTCAATGCTATAAATGAAGAGTTAAAATCCATGGAACAGAATAGTGTTTGGGATCTCGTCTGAGGAAGATGTGGTTGAGTAAAAAGCAACGACATCGACATATAGAAATAAATGAAGAATTCACTACTTTAGAGAAAGTAAATAGAATTTCAGTAGGGCTGGGCTGTTCGCCGTTTCAGTAGCGAAGAAGCGGGGGAAATATCTCACCGCTCACGAGCGAGCTTCAACCTAAAGAGTTCCTTCTTTCCAAGAAGGGTCATTTCATAGGTCTTCCTAGCCCCACCCACTGTACAGTAGAACAACCGTTCAACAAGTCACTTGATTCGTGCTCGAGGACAACCATGTAGCCGTAGCTATTCGGGAGCAGCAAGGGCGTCAAGCGTTTCCAGTTCCTGTACCAGTGCGAGTCGCAAGCTCTATTCTTACGTAGCAATAGAAGCCTGCTTATGCTGCTTCGGCGGCGCTTTTTCGCCTTCTCTTCGCTCTGGACAGGAGCGCTAGTGGACGCGGGGAGGGAGCAGGCGAAGCCTGTCGTTCGTAATGGAAAGAAAGATACCACTACTTCGCCTCTTTGTTGGACCGCCGGCGCGAACACAGTGGTCTCTGACCAGGACCAGGAACCAATTCGAATTTGGATCTTGACATGTCGGTGGTTTTTAACCGTAGGCATCTTGCCAGGAAGTTGGTGGGCTCATCATGAATTAGGTCGGGGTGGCTGGTGGTTTCGGGATCCCGTAGAAAATGCTTCTTTTATGCCTCGGGTATTAGCCACAGCTCGTATTCATTCAGTAATTCTACCCCTTCTTCATTCTTGGACCTCGCTTCTTAATATTGTGACTCTTCCATGCTGTGTCTCAGGAACCTCTTCAATACGGTCCGGATTGCTAGCTCCCGTTCATAGTTTTGCTACAGATGATACACGAGGAATCTTTTTATGGCGGTTCTTCCTTCTAATGACCGGCATATCTATGATTCTTTTCTCCCAGATGAAGCAGCAGGCATCGGTCCGTAGAACCTATAAAAAAGAGATGGTTGTGGCGCGAAGTACTCTTGTGCACCTACGTCACTCGGCTCGCGCGCAACCCCGCCCCGTTATGTTATGGAAGAATTTAGCTTCTTGCTGGGCTGGTTATTCAGAGCCAGCAATTGGCTGTCGGATTTCGTCCCGCAAATTTTGAATATTGATAAACAGGAAATGTCTTAACAAGACAAATTACAGGGGCCTTTTAGGCAAATAATTACATATTCCAATAATGGACTAGGTTACTGAAAGTTATCGATGGTGTAGTGCATAGAAGGAAATATGACATAAATGTTATATAACCGCTATGACTCACATTGGTGATCTGAAGTAATTACAGTATTATAGTTTCTAATATATCTGAACTTATTGGCTATTTTAAAAATTCGTGATCACGTATCAAAGCTTTTAGTGTGGAATCCAATGAGTCAAAAATTTTATAAATTGCATATTTTTTGGAAAAACTCATAATTGCATCATAATCGATTTAATGGGCCAAGTGGGAGAATGTTGGATTTATTTTCTAGTGTGGCCCAATAACCTACATATATCTACATGTTTTAATTTATTGGGACTTCACAATTAGATAAAGTCAATATTTGAGATAAAGTTTAGTAATTCGAATTTTAATATAATTACTCTTCTAAGATAAGAAGGAAACCTTGATGTATAGGAATTCTTCTGATAGAGTTTATCTGGCCCTCTTCTCTCCTCTATATAAGGATGGGTGACTCTCCTTTCATATCATGAGTATTTTTCTATCACTCTAAGTTTTATAGTCACCCTAATTAAGAGAGACGGAAAGAAGAAAGTGAGCCAAGAATTAAAGGTTCAACTATTAGGGTTATTTTTTCAACTTCTCTAATTCAATGGCTGACAAATGTATGTTCATTTTATTCTTGAGTTGTATTGAATTCAAGATCTTATAAGGTTTCATTCCGCATTATTATTATGGTTACATGTATTATTAATACTTACACGTCTTGCTAAATCTGAATTAGGTATGTCATCTATCGTTCTTTAGATTGATTTGTATCATTTGATGCCGGTTTGGCTGTGTTTTCGTTTTCTGGAAAACACATTTTATATGTCTCTGAATTCTGTATTGGTTAGTCACACACATAATAGAAATGCAGATCAGGCAAACAGAGTTCTGATTAGAATAGAAAGTAAGAAAATTCTGTTCAACTTTTGAAATGTTTTTTTTCTTTTCTTTTCTTTTCCTATAATTGGTTCTCTGTTATGCAGAAATCAAATAGTTCCAATCAAACAAAGCAAATACACCTAACACAAAATATGCGTGGTCAGCAATGTGCCTATGTCCATGGAGGGGAGGAGATCAAATCCACTCTGCGTAATAAGAATTAGAAAGCTTTAAACCTCCTCCCAACTCAGCTGCTCTACAATATTATAATATCACACAATGAAACCGTAGCCGAAAAGTATAATATATATCGGCCCTTCACTTTCGTAAAAAACCCCTTACATTTAATCTAAGTATACAGTAAAAATATATGACATCTCACGAAAAAGAAAAACACTTCAAATTATGGTATAAAAAAAATTGAAATTTAATTAAGCAGATTTGTTCTTACTTTCAAGCATTTTAATAAGACACAATATTGTGTTTTTTTCCTCTGTAGGTGTTAAAAACAGAATATCAACTGCAGCAATAACTACAATTGTAGTGGTAGGAACAATCATTTTTGGTGTATTCCTTTGGCTACTATGGAGGTTCAGAGCAAAAATAAAAGGTAAGGTTTAACAGTGCAGTTCATGGGGAAATGTCAATTTCTTTCTTTTTCTTGATGATGGCTAATTAACTTCCTTTTATCATATCAATACCCATCAACAGAGTGCTCAAAATCATTGTGCAAGAGCAAAATTGTGTTAGCAGCGTTTGATGCGAGCAGAAGTTGTGAATTTTCAGCAGATTTTTCATGCTCGGATGACCTTGTTTCCATTGAAGGGAAACGAGGAAGTGGACCAGAATTACCGTTGTTCAATTTCAATTGTGTAGCAGCTTCCACAAATAACTTTGCGAATAATTATAAGCTCGGACAAGGGGGATTTGGAGTCGTATATAAGGTGAATTTACATGGAAATCATATAGGATTAATAAAAGTTATGTTAGCATGTAAATATGAAACAATTTTTTTGATTCTTTTCCAGGGCATTTGGCCAGGGGGACAGTAAATAGCTGTCAAGAGACTCTCAAGGTGTTCTGGGTAGGGTTTAGAGGAATTTAATAATGAGATGATATTGATTGCTAAATTACAACATAGAAATCTTGTTTGGCTTTTGGGTTATTGCATTGAAGTAGAAGAAAAGTTACTGTTTTACGAGTACATTCCCAACAAAAGCTTGGATTTCTTTCTTTTTGGTTAGTACTTCGCCCTTTTCATCCTACTTAAGAGTGTAGTTTTAAGTAGCAGTATGCTAGTATCAGAACATTGGTCTAATAGTATTGGGAGTATCTAGTGACGTATTGAGCGTCACAGTCATGAATTTTTTAAAATCATCAGGTGAAAAAATGATCTTTGTAGTAGTCGAACCGATGGTATCTGTGGTGAATCAGCTATATCGAATTTGAATGACAAAAGTTCGATATGTATCTACCAATATTTGAAACCATGCTTAAGAGAGTACCCTTTTTGAAAGTCTTTATATTGTTTATGGCATTTTCATATTGCTAGCTCACTACAAGAGAACATACATTTTGAGTCGGCAGGTTACTGTCGCAAAAAACATAATTGCCGTCGCAAAAAGTTTTTGCGATGGCCTTTCGACGGCATGGTGAGGGACGAGAGTACGGGGGTCGCTAAAACTTTTTGAGTCGGCAACTGTGCCGTCACAGAATATTTGCGACGGCAAAGTGAATTAATTGAGACGGTGTCCTGCCGTCGCAAAAAAGACCAAAAAATCACTATTATTATTTATGTCGGTACATTACCGTCGCTATAGAGTTTTTTGCGTCTGCAATGTGCCGACTCTAAAAAAATTCACCTGTACATTGCATAGGTTTTTTGAGACTGTTAGTTGCCGTCACCAAAAATATATATATATATATATATATATTTTCATAAAAAAGTTATTTCTTTTTTGTAATTAATACCTGTATTATGTTCGTTGAAATCTAATAGAAAAAATGCATTCAATCAATAGACATTCATTCATTCATTCAAAAACCAAAAATATTTATACAAATTCAGTCATCATTTTAGCTTCATTGACATCAAAATATTAACAAAAAATTTGTTACATCAATACAAATAGTATGGTAGCAATATGTTATAAATATTAAGTACAAAAAGCATGACATCTCAAGCGATAATATAATATGTCCAAAAATAAAATTAGCTTCCATGCCACCATTAATTCATCCATCAGTCTTCATGCAAAACCTGAAAACAAAAACCAAAACAAAAACAAATTAAATCAAATATTAGGTTATATAATATATATATATAGCTTCACCAAGTCATAAACTCAATTTTAGCAAAACACTCCCTAGCTAGTACTATTAGGCCTCACTGAATATAATCAAATTGTCTAGCTTAGTGCTGGACAGTGAAGGCAATTGGGACATTGAAGTGCTGGAAAAC